AATCAAACTCTTTCAAATGTTGCAATCTAAGTTTGCACTCGTAAAATTTTGATGATATAGCTGAACTATAAAATAGTTGAAGGAAGATGAAAATTTTCAAAATTTATTCAATATTCTCAAGCGACATTAATTTTTCATCCATTTTAACAGTAAAAAAATTATTTCAATAATAAATCATTTGAGGATAATATTATGGAAGTCTATCGAAAACTTTCAAATATTGAGGAACAAATTTGGGGTAAAGTAATTGTAATGGAAAGGAATATTCGTTCTGCAAAGGCATATCTTCGATCGCGTGTCATTACCATTGACGGAAGTGATGCTGAATTTGACGGCCTGCGGTAAATTTTCCTTCCTTATTTAAACTGAATTCAGAATTATGTTTTGAAGACTGAAATTCATTCGTAAGATTTTTTTAAGGCAAATAAAAATTTTTTAATTTTAAACTATGATTATCGTTGCCAAAGTGAAGTTCTGTGAAGTACAAAGCATCTGCTGACTGTTGAAATTTAGCATGTTTAAATGAATTCAGAATTACGGTTTAGACCAAAATTCTTGTGGCGAAATATTAACTTCCCCAATAAAATTTATGATACCAATCGTTTGAATAACAGTTTAATTTTACCTGATTAATTAAGTTGTGGATAAATTATTACTTATAAAGTTACAAAAACGTTGTATCACACGTGACAACCCAGTTGATGCATCAGAAGTCTGAAGATTTTCTTTTATTAGTGTGAAATCCTATTAAAATTTTAAATTCATTTTTTAAATTTTGGTATGAAAATTTGCACGAATTTTGAACTAGTAGCACAGAATTTCTGAAAGTTGCTAAAATCATTTCTTATTTTCAAATTGCATATAAAATGAGAGTATAAAAAAGTGAAGAGATGGAATTGATGAGTTTCAATTTTAAAAAAATTAAAAGTATGTTATGCTTAGAAGTATAGTACTATATCACCAAAATGCTTACTTGATTAATATATGATTGATCTTATGAACTCGATAAAAATAAATTCACTTCAAGAACTTTATCCTTATTCAGTCAATTATAATTTCAACTGATAATTATCGTATTTAAACATAATGACAATTAATATAATGGATGCGAACATTTTTTTTCTCAATAATTTCAACTGAACACTAAAAAATTCAATACAATAACTTGTTTCTATTCAAATTTTGGCGTAAAACTAGTTTTTTTAATTCTACGATCTATTGAATTTTTAATAGATTTAATATGCATATGAAAATGGTATATATACACTAATATAATCCTATTACCATTATTTAATTGGAAAATATAAGAAATGCATCTGATTATTATCTCCAAAATTTGTAATTTTCGAGAAATTTTATTTTCAAGAAATTAATTCCTCTTTTCTTCTTTTCAAAAAAATATATAAATTATATATAATTTTCCATTATTCTAACTATTAATATGATTTCAGTGAAAAGTTTAATAACTTTTCAATGTTGTCTTCTTTTGCAGAATTGGTTTACAGCGATTTGAAAATTCATATCGTGATGATGGCACGATCAGAGCATTTGAAGCTTTCGGGAAAGTATGTAAAATTTTAATTTCAAAAATGCTCTAATCAATCAATAAATTAGTAATGACGAAGAAGTTAATAAAGTTTATCATATCTTATAATATCGAAGTGGAATTTTGTCTTGGTCCTGATAGCTCTATAATTAGTGTGTTTGATTGGAATTTTAATGATTAAGAATATTTCCATAAAACTGTTTCATTCCATAAAATTTTTCCAGAAAAAGACCAATTGCAATCCATTTGTTTGATTTTTATTAATTTCCAAAAATGAGTTTAACAATTCATAGCAAATACTATTAACATTACCATTATAACACTGTATTTCGAGACTGACTTGATTTGAATTCATTTATTTTATTGTGATAAGTTTACAAATTCTAACATAAAAAAAAAAAACGTGCGGGTTTATATCTTAAAAAATATAGCATTAAATTCAGAAGAATATGCAAGCAAAAAAAGCCCACTGATAGTGATTTTTCAATAATGAATTTTTAATTCACGGAAAGTTTTTTTTAAACATGTAAAACAGCAATTTTTCAGGGTGTAAAAATGAAAATCGACGACGTTGGTAATGTTTGGCTTAAATGCACAGAGGGAAGTGTATTCGTTAATGGAATACTTGGAGAAATTATTGTGAAAAGTGATCCAATCAAAGTGAGAGGAAAATTTTTTCACAGAATTGTCAAAATTTAATACTATTTATTCAATGTACTACATTTCTTAAAGAAGGTTTACATGATATGTATTATCAATTAATTGGAATAGAACAGAAATTAAATATATTTATTACAGTTTTACTCGAAAGCAAATATCATAGATTTTGCAATAAAAAAGTGAATAATATAAAATTTACACGCAATTATCAATTTATAATAAGCAAATTTTAGATTTTTGATTTGAAAATTCTTAAAGAATTCGTTTCACGACATAGCGATTTTGATGAAGTTGCACGTGATCGATACAGTCGGATGGCAATCACCTATGCACACGTTCGATATAGCTTCATTAGAATTTGTATACTTTGATTAAATTCACAGATGCTTGAATGCGAATATCGAATATAGTATTATTCATATTTCAAGTTACATTTCGGAATCATAAAAGTGTCGGGATAATTTTTCAATTGAGTAATTTTCAATTATTACAAACTATAAAATGTGAAATTAGTTTCAGGTCGATAAACCAACAGATCCTCTATCGTCAGCTTTATGGTTTGCTGTAATACATCTGACAGCGCTTGAAATGATCCAGATTTTGTTTCCCAATAATTCAGGTATATTTGGAAAATGAACAAGAGATTTTTTTCTAATACAAAATGAGTAACCGATAAGCATATACGAATGTTATTTATGAGAAAAGTAATAGCTCAGCAAACATTTGAACCGGATTCTTTTCAATTTTCTGAAGTAAAATTTAAAAGTTAGCTTAATTTCAGCTCCAAATACACCATCACCATCAGCAAGTATTGAACTTCATAGTATGAACCATGGTGATGGCTATTCACAGTCCAGTAGTGCGGATACAAACTGCAATGGACGTACTGTTTCATCGATTAGTTCCGGCTCTTCATCTCATTATTCGGGAATCAGTTCTGCGAATTTTTGGAATCGACAATTAAAGTGAGCTATTTCTTAAGGTTTGATTTGAGAACAAAAGTCAATAATGAGAATGAATTCAACATCAATAGGATTAAGATTATAATTTATGCATTTCAGATTGCGTGGTGGCGCCTACAAGAAAATTAACCGAGAACCAAACGTATATTTGTCGTCAAGGAATGCTACAAATCCTGAACAAGAAGTTTGATTTTGTTTCATTTTTTTCGAAATCCAATCTTGCTAATCAACGGATGATCGAATTACAAGTTATAACAAAAACAACTTTTAACTGTGAAAGAAAGAAATATCCGGTTAAAAATATTTTAAAAGCAATTTTTGAGATATGAAAAGAAAAGAAATAAATGATCATTCATTTGATGGTTACCGTAGCAAACAGGATCAAACATTCAATTGCATTATTTAATTGGAGAAAAGATCAAGCAAAATAATTTGAGAAAGTATTGTCATAAGCTTTCTCGAAAATACGTCTGTGTTGGACAAGTTTCGAAGTTATGCTCACGTTAACAATTGAATAATTATGTATTTAAGTTAAGAAAGCAATATATACTGCGTCAAATGGAAGCACCCCCCACTTAGCATTGTTAATCACTCAATTAAAATTTCACGCAAATTTGTTTTAAATACTCTTCGCATGAGATTCTATGATGATTGTTTGACTTTATTATAGAATTTCTATGAAGAATTCAATTTTTTCATAAATCATTCTAAAAAACATTCCCATTTCTTATATTTCAATTTATAGCAAAGAAAAGGAAAAGGTCGAAGTCTTCTGAACCTAAGTGATTTGGATCAATTACGTAATCCAGCATATTTCCGGAAAGAACGTGAGAATCGTGGCGGTCCGGGACACAAACGACTAAATCATTTCACACAACAGGTGTCAGCTCCTCCCTCGACACCTTCATACTCGTCAAATATAAGCTGGCGTTCACGAAGTGAAACATCTCTTTACTGTGAAAGACTTTAGGAATGAAAAAATATTCACCTCTCTTTGTGTCAAATATTAATTTAAAAAAAATATTTGCTATTTGAGCAATCCCGTGTTGATTTGTATTTCATTATAACTTTATACGAATGTGTTTTTCTAAACTAAATATTGCAACAAAATACACTTTTCGGCATATTAATATCATAATAGTTATGAAGCGAAATAAAAACAAAGTGATCAGAACAAATCAATTAATGAAGAAACGTAAAGGATGAAAGATGCTATGTATACTAATTGTTCTGATTCGTCGCTTAACATCAACCAATAAACCTTACTAACGCGAGGCTTCGATATTTCTTTTTGGCGTAGATGTATGAACAAAGTATTCAAATATCGAAAAGTTAGCTATACTTCAAGTCTAAATATCTTTTGAAGAATTCTATGCCAAAGCTTGAATCTGGTCAATGAAATTTTTTAAAAAAACATAAGAAACACTTACAAAATTCACAACTCTCAACAATCACAACGTTAAGTTTGAGTAAAAAAATTCATTTTCTACAGCTGCATAAATAAATAAACAAATGTAAAATATAAAAAAGACTTGATATAAGTGAGTGAATGTCATTATATTCAAAAAATGTAAATTTTCAAAGACTTTTAAGTAAAAAAAACTGAAGAAAAGAATTTTTCATTTCTGATATGAGTCTCCTGTTTGATATCCTGTCCAATAATATACATCGTAATATTACAGTTCAAAGAAATGTAAAACGAGACTTAACAATTAAAACTTGCTAATCGATAAAATTGACGCAATTTATTTCAAAAATTAGTATATTTCGATTTTATAAAAATCTTTATAGAACCGCAAATAATATAAGAATGTGGTGGTAATTTTATGAGATTAATCTTTCTTCATCCGAGTTGTTACCACACGATAAATAATTGAATCTTTACCTGGTTCCATGTTCCATAAACCAATAGCTACGAAAAGAACGGCTACTGAAAGCGCAATACTTGTAAGCAAAAATATTCCAAACATAGCTGGGTAATTGGTTGACGAGAACTGAAAAAATCGATATGGATGGAATTTAAAGATATAAATTATCGAAATAATTTGTAAAAAAGTGCTATCAAGTTCAACATTAAACGTCAGATCTTTGAAATTTCGAGTGACGAATTCTGGATACCAACAGGGCAGTGGAAAAATTCTAATACTGAAAAACTTATATTGCAATATATCCAAATGTTAAATAGAATTGGGCATTCTTAATCATACCATATGGAAATCTATAGGAAATTGCTAACTGCCCAACAGGTAAATCCTCTATAAACAAGTATGAAAGGAAATGTGCAATTTTTTATATCTTCTAACTACTGTTCATACAAAAAAGAGCCAAGTAATCAAATGAACTTCAAGATAGCTAGTCAAGACTATTTTGAATAAACAAAAAATAAGAGCAATGAACAAAAATTTAAAAAAAACTACTTCAATTAAGATATTATTGATAAAACAAATGGATATAAGAACCTGATAAACGTTTAAATCCTTCCGTAATTTCATTATCCGATGAACGCCACTTTCAGGATTCTGAAAACGTTTAATACTCACAATCTTGTGCCCGGTATATTAATATCAATAACATTAAATGAATTTACAAGACTATTTTCTCAAAAATTATGAAAAATTATTGGAACTGAATTCGACTTCTGAAAAAAGTAATACTGAAAAAAAAAATAAAAGATGAAAATTATTTTGCCACTCAGTTTTTAACCTCTCCTTCCTTCTGCAAATAAACTATGTCCTGGAAGTGGATAAATATGCTTCACTGACAGAAATGCTAGCAGAATGTGCCTGATACTGGTGATCAACTGTGGGAAAGGATTATTTTTCTATAATTATGAAAATTTCTATCTATTAAAAAAGATTAGAAATCTTTTTTTTTCTTGCATTAAAATTGGTTGCAGTATGAAAGATAATAAATAGAACTAAAATAGTTATGAAGGCTCGGAATAGGGCTAAATACTCAAATTCTTATTTAGAAATACTCAAATTCATATTTTATGATAGAGTTTTACCTGTCTTTTTTGTCTCCTTTTGATTTCAGACATCGGTTCTGTAATGAGCTCCGCAATCACGCGATCATTATATATACTTCTCAGCACAGAAATTAAGTGCCAGATAGCGTTTTCCAATTCACTAACAGCTCGTTTATATTCTTCTTCGGATAATTCTTGTCCAGCAGTTAGCAAACCGTTCACGTCGATAATGAAAATTGTTGGAACGTTTTTAGTAGGAGCAACTTTCGATTTACTAATCTAAAAATGTGAAAACTCCGAAGTTTTTCGTATGAAATTAAACATTAGACAAAGTTTCAACGCTACATTTAAAGTATGTCAGACAATAGTTATTAGTATTAAAAAGCTGCAGTTTTATTTTACTTTTTCTGCTAAGTGGATAGGAAATATTTCAAATTATTAGAATAATTAATATCTCTTATAACTGATAGTACTGCCGGTTGAATTAACAATTTCTTGTTTTTTTTTATAATAATATAAAACGCTAAGGATTGGAAGCTTTGAATTTTACCGATTCTGCAATTTTATAAAGATTTTCAATTTCCTGTCGTAGTAGTTTGCTTTTCGTCTTGACTTCAACTTTTGAGAAGGCATTCTGAGCATCAGAAGCAATTTGTGAACCTTCCAGCCTAGCATTACGCATCAAAATCCATTCCTGTCCTTCATCAGCAAATATTTTATTGTTCACCAGTTTCTCATGGTTGAAATCATCTTCATCTGTTGACAAAGCATACCCGGATGCTGAGAGATTGTTCAAAGCTTTCCCACCAATGACAGTAACTAAAATTGAACAAACTTGTTCGAATTAAATTTTAGCACGTGAAAATTAACCTATCGAATAACTGAACCATCTCAGAAGTGAAATTTCTTCTTTACCAGATAAACAACACCAACCTACTGCTAATGCTCGTGGTCTTCTGAAAATATTTCCATTACTCGTCCATGTTAGAGGGGTCTTTGCTGTTAATCCTAGAATGTATTTGTTGGCTTGCACAACGTCGCTTTTTGATAAAAAAGTTGTAGTGGGATCCGGAAGTTCCACTGATTCGGAAGCTAAGAAATATAGCTCAGCACATGATGACCCTGAAAAAATTTATCTGGAATGCGGATAAAAGCAATTTCTCATACATGCAATTTGATACAAAAACCTAAACTAGATTTTGATATCAAAACAAATATAATTAGCACCTTGAACAAAAGCATACAGTATCGACAAAATCATACAAATATAAGCCATGCTCGGTAATCTGAAACCCATTTTAGTTATTGAAATCTTTGAAACATAGCTCGATAAGAAATACGTGAAATCATGTATGCAATTCATTCAAAATATATCACGAGTGTTTGCATTATTGAAAAAATCTTTCTCGGCAATTTCTAGAAACCGAACGAACATGAAAGAAATAAAATTTATTTTTATTCAAGAAAATAAATGACAATAAAACAATTTAAAGCACATTCATCACCAAACTCCTCGCTGCACACCGGATAATTGACCATGATCAGCGAGACGTCTAAAATATCAACAAATATTACCACAAAAAGTATGCGATTATCACATCGCTATTTTAAGAATGTATTTATGATATCAGTCAATAAAATATCCTTTTAATTCTATCATTGGTTACATCCTCATTTTGCTATAAATCGATTCTTTTTTAATTCACAGCTAAAACATAATAGTAAAAATCAAAATTTTACTTGAAGTGTTTATTATGAAGGAAATTGAAATCCAAATCATGGAAAAAAAAGAAGAATGAAAATGAAATAAAGTATTAACATTTGTTTATTTAATAGTAAATCAAATAAAATGAATGCCTGAAAATTTGCCGATGAAGATGAAATCTGTTCAGTTTACCACGTCGTGCACCACTAAACTGACATAAATGTTGAACGAGATTTGGACATGATCCTTTAGGAAAATTATGCAATTTTTTAGCACATTCATCTCTAATCAGTTCCGGCAGTATGGTATTACATTTCAGTGCCTTCAATCGGACACGATCTGGGCCAAGATCAGCAAGCAAATATCGCCTTTTGACATCTCTCTTCATTCGCCAAGTCGACCAAAATGTCATTCTGTTACCATGTTTCCACCATTCACGTTCCACATAGTAAGGATATTTGTCTAATCTGTAGAAAGTTAGAATCCATGTAGAGTTAAAGTTTACTAAATTAAGCTTTCTCATCTAGTGACTTCAGAAATGCAATTGAAATCATTTTGATCATGAAATTATCCTTATAGTACAATAGCTTTGATCTCCTGGACAAATAATATATAATGTGAAATCTCATTTCAATAAAAAACTTAAGATAACTAATAAAATTAGTTAAAACAAAAATTGTGCAGTTCGTTCAAAATTTAACACTTATAAATTTCACTTCAATGTCTCCAATGCTTTTTGACTGTACGGTAAGATAGGGCATTCTTTATTAATGGCGTCCATGGCTGCACATGAAAGTTCACTTTCGACAGCTGAACTGTCGTTGTCATCCGATGCAGATGGGATTACTTCAGTTGTGTCAATAGGCTTAGAACTCATTAAACAGCGCATGGAAGGAATTATTCGATGCCATGATAAATTCAATTTTGATAGCATAGACGAAAAATGCCGCAAAGAAGGCATTAATGCAAACTGCAATATACACAATTTAATTAAACATAAATGCAATTTGTCTGCAACTTTCTTGCAAAAATTGGAAAATCTTAGCAAAAACTCATCACAACTTCATCAAAGTTGAGTGATACTACTCAACTGCATTAATCATTTGAGCGTATACTCTCAAACTGTTTGTGTTTGACAATTTGAATAAAGAAACATGAAAAATATGTAAAGATCACATTACTTGGAAGGGCTCAGATAATATCAGAGCTGAATTTTTGCTTATAGAAATTAGAATATTGTGATAAAAACAAATTCCTTCTATTCAAAAATTTCATACTTAGATTTGGAGAAAATACATTTTAGCATGGCTTTGTAACATAAGTATACGCACATCAATAGAAAAATATTACTTATGCAAAAAGAAACATAAAGAACTTAAGCCAATGTTAGAAAAAGAAAAATTTAAAATATTTTCTTCAGGAAATAATCCGAGAAAGACACTAAAAGTTGTATGCATTACTTTATTTCAATAAGGCACCACCATACTGGATACTCGTAATCAGAATATTGACTATTCATGAAAGTACTGCAATATTAAATAAACAACTTATGAATTTGCCTTTAAAAAAAAACACAGAAACAGAGGCAACAACCAAAGGCCGAAATGTTTTGGTCAACATCAAAAGATATGAAACTAGATGAAATGAATTTTTCATCCAATTAAAAATGATCAAATACTGTCAATGTTGATGCGTTATTCGGTTTGAAGTATTCTATGCCTTTTCTGAAAACTTTTTTTTTAATGTTAGTATTACTCAGATATTTGTGATAAAGGTTAAAAGTTTAACTCCACGAAAATATATAATTAATCTAATATTTATTCAGGAGAAGTGAAATTACTGACCGATTTATTGAATGTATCATTTCTTATCATGTCTTACCTAATCAGGCAACAACGATTTAAATGTTCTTTTGATAATTGTATACATATATATTAAAATATATGAAGATAGGAAAATAGAAAATACACACCAATCTATGAAAGTAACAAATATTACCTACAAAAAGGAGAACATTATATACAGCAGCTATGGGGAAACACATAAAGATATAAAAAGAGTCGTTATGTTTACTTGTAAATAGAGCGGATAAATCTATTCTAAATATATAAACAGTTCAATATGAATGACGTAATAGAACACAATAAAACATTTGTCCTAGGCCAATCAGTTTTGATAGGTATTAGCCAATTAAGAGAATAAAAGCAGTAGAGATCAAAAATACACCAATGCCGGTAAACTTGATAAAGTTGAAAAACAGTCAAGTCTAAACTCAAATGAAGTTCAGATTTTCAAGGAATTAGTCGGTGGGGAAAAAATTTGATGAGCCAGCTTTAATTTTTGTCCGGTTCACGAAAATACGAATTGAACCGTTCAGATCGGCCGAAATGATGACATCACCGTGAATTTGTCGATCTGATATACTTTTGCTAGGTTTTGACTGTTCACTCCTATCATCGCTGCGACGTTGCTCCAGAAGATTAAGAAACAATTGTGGACGAGGTGCAAATATTGCTACTGTTACACATGCTGAGTGACCTAAGATTTCATCAATAATAATTACTCGTTAGCCAAATTAATAAATGGATCATTTATTAATTTGGTTAACGACAGCACCAGCACTCAGTTCTGTTATCACATAAAATGTTCAGGATGTGTGCCCGCTGGCAAAGTACATGAAGATGTGAGTGTCTGTTAAAATATTTACAAGTCAAATTATCGCATTCAAATTCATTTTTAATATCGAATTATCTTCGCATCTCAAAATGCTATTCAAGGATTTCTAAAGTGAACTGCTATAAATTACTAGCACACAGATGCTCTTTCGATAGTAAATACCACGCAATTAAATTATATTATTTTAATATAACAGTCTGATATGACATTTAGAATTACTTATATGCGCTAAACAAAAATTTCAAAAGAAATTTTTCTTTAATTTCATTGTGCTTGCAACAGTTTCTAACAATCTTTATAAGAATTTTTATTAAAAAAAAATCTTAAACATTTAACCTCGCAAACGTTGCCATGAATCGTTGCGATCTTTGCGGACAGCTAATGAGGATGGTAAATCAGCAGTTGTCCAAATATAAATAAAACGATCTTCACTTCCACAAACAATATGTTTTCCATCAGGTGATAAAGAAGCTCGAATTTGACTCCTTTCATTCTGAGCACCCTGTAGTAAAAAATAAGAATTTGGAGGAAAAAAGATAGAAAGAAGAAAATTATAGTTTTACTTGAATGTACCTTAAATTTGCAAGTAAGGGCCATATCTCGTAGGTCATACATCCGTATACGTGAATCATTCGAAGTGACCAACAATTTATCTCCATGGACAGCTAGACCTGTTACCTGTAAAAATTCGTAATAGACACTTAAGTAAAGAAAACATATGAAAAAATATTGAATTTAACCTCTTTACTATTTCACCAAACATCAGAAATATTGTAAAAATGTTTAAAAATTACTTTATGTCCTCTAGCATTTTTGCCTCGGCTTGATCTAACGTCAATGACAGTATGATATTTGAGTTGATCAGTTGTATAGAAAAAACAACGACCATCGTATGTACCCACTACCGCAAATTTTCCATTTTTGGCGAATGCAATAGCCGTTATGAATTTTACTTGCTCCACTTCATTCCATAAGGCCACTTTTTTGTCCGGTATATGCCACAGACGAAGTTTGCCATCTAATGAGCCAGAAAGAAAATACCGATCATCCTGAAAAAAATACCAGTATGTGCGAGGAAGACAATTTTGAATAAATATATTTTAAGGTGTCGCTAAACAAATTACCCTTCATAAATTTATTAATAATGTTCTGGAAAGGTATAAAAACAGAAATCTGAACCTTTGGCATGAAGGCAATGCATGTAACGAAATCCATATGTTGAAAACAACAAAGACATTCTGGACGAGAAAGATGCCACAACTTCACAGTACGATCCATTCCAGATGACAGAATAAAATAATTACGAGACCATGACAAATCCAATACGTCGGCAGTATGACTCCTATATATACATAATGGTTTTGATGCCATTAAAGCAGTCGTTAAGGAATTATTTTCATCATCGTGTGATGTGGATGATCCGCCACTACCGCCAAGCTGAAACATCTTTCAAAAATTAAGTGAAGCACTATTCTGAAACAAACAATAAAATCACATTGTAAGCAATAAATTTATCATTGACTTAGCAAGTCGTGATGGGAAAATGAGAATAAAGAAAAGCTGTTTTTCTTCTTTTTTCCTTTTTTATATTTCTACACAAAATTTCATAGAACTTCAACTTATCCCAGATGTCACAAAATCATGTAAAATAAAGGAGGAAATTTTTAAGACAAAGAAATGAGAGGTAATGTTCAAAGAGATAGTCCCTTGCCCACAAAAAATTAACTGAGAAAATATATTTGATCTTCATGAAATCTGAACGATTGTAATTTGAAGGTTATATTAGCACTCACAAAAAACAAAATCAATGATGGTCATCACTCAGTATATTTCCTTAGTATAATCGCCAATACGTTAACAAACAACTAGAAATAATCTCTTCTCACAAAGGTACGTAATAAAAAGGGAAACTGCCAAAAAAAAAAATCAAGTTTCATAATCAATCAATATTATTTGTTCATGAATCGCTGAAAGATTTACCGTAGTAGAGGAAGAACGTAAATCATTTTCAATATCTTGCATCGCATTTTGCAACACATTTTCGCCCACAATCATAGAAATTTTCTTAGAATGTGAATTATAACGGTCACGTAGGGCATTAAAATATGACAAATGATTGCGTAGCACCCAAACCCGTATTATACTGTCTTGACCAGCCGTAGCCAATAGACGCCCGCACAACGAAAACTTCATGCACCATATAGCACCCTGAATTTAACAGATTATCAATAAGCTATATACAGGTCATAAAGTTTATTAATCTCCAAGTAATTTATCGAATTCATTATTTGTGATTTCTTGCTTTTGCGACGGAATATACAGAATCAGGCACAGAGAGCAAAAAAACAATCTTTCATCCATTCTAGATCAAATGAATTCCTATGTATTATTTCATGACGACATTCAATTATTCTAAATAATTGAGATAACTTGAATTAATCCAGACACTACATCAAACGAAAAATACTTACAGATGTTTTACTGTAAAAATACATTAAAACAAAATTTATTTGAATGAACGAAAAATCAACCGTATGTTCATTGTTCAATTCCTGATAACAACGTGTGCCATCAAAATCAAATGGTCCTTTCTTCGAATTCCTTGGCCGTACAATGGGAGTACCTTCAGCTATAGCAGAATCTTCGTGATCACTTTCATTGCAACTTTCATCGTCTTCTTTGGAGAATTTTGATGTTGAGCTCAAATGAAGATGATTTAAAACAAAAACAATGCATTAAAATATTGTATGGTGAAGTCCCGTAGCACTTTAAATAAATCAATTACCCTGACGATACAACATTTTTTGCTCTTAAGAAAGCACCACGAAATAGCTCAGATGCATAGGTTCCATATCCCTTAACAAATCCCGCTGCTCGACCAAAACTACTCGGCGATGAAGTTATGTGTGAAGGACCATCTTCCAATCTGCAATCAAAACAGAATTTACATAACTAATCCATAAGTTCTTAAGTGAATATTAGTTTCTAAATAAGTATTGAGTGAAAACTAACTCTCCAGAAGTCTGTTGATGTCCTTTCATGCTCATACGCCTTTCCACATCTCGAGTTATTGGATCTGAATACTCGGTTTGAGTATTTTGTGCGCTACAGTCGTCTTTCATGAAAACTTGCTCCGGCGTTGGTCCCGAGCGATCCCCAACCGCAAAATCTTTGGATGACGAATCTGAATCCTACAACGATAATAATACTTTGGAGACAAGCGCAAATTTTAGAAAGTTTTTAAATTTCATTTTAACATAAAAAGAAGGTAAAATGTTCAAATTTTAAATGAGCATCAAAAACTGGTTTTTCGTAAGTTGTAAACACTATACACAGATAAATAAAAGCATAAACCATTTTTGGGTGACTTGGAGATTTTGGAATTGTAATTTGCATCTTATATGATTTGTCCTGAGAAGTGCTGTCCGGTATCTTGCCATCGTTTAAAACAGATCTTTTCGGGGAGCAAGCAGAAATTGAAGAGTTCGTAGAAAATTCTTCTCCAACCGACGACAAACGGCCACTTGATATACCATGCACAGGTGATTCCAACGTCAGCAGTTCTTCTCTGAAGTGATGGAGAAGCATTACTTGCAAAGAATCATTTGCTAAACTGATTACAAAAAATTTGATTATCATAGGATTCAATGTAAATAAAACTTAAATTCATTTCAAAATTATTAAACGGATTGCAAATACAAGAAAGAAATTTTACAAAAATATAAATCTGGTTTTTAATAAATTATATTTGATAGGATCAATGAAAATTATTTGAATTCGCATCATAAGATTATTCTTTGTGATCTATATGCACGAGATTCATCGGGAATAATCTCTGCTTCGTGCAGACTTCCAACACTTGACTTCATGCAATTTTATTTACATGTTGGCTGAGTCCAATACAAATAAAATATTAGGGAAACTTCAAAAATCATTGCTTGAAAACATCTATATAAGATAGAGAACTTTTGAATAACCGTTACGACAATGATCTGCTGCAACAACTAAAAAATTGACTTACTTTAATGGTTCACTGAGTAATGAAGAGGTGATTTGACGAATAATGCCCTGTGCATCGCTGTTCCTTAGATCTTCTTCTCCTCCATCAAACGACAAATAAGGTGGGCTACATGGAGAATCAGCAAAATATTCTCGTTTTAAGGAATTACTCTTATTACTACGTGGTGGAAACGGGCCCGATTTCATGCTTTTTGCTAAACTCAACCCACGATCCAGCGAATTTGTTTTCGCATGTCCACGCAATCGGGCAAAACCGTCAACCAACGAAACAGAATCCTTTTTCGATGATTTATCTGGCTTGAAGCTGTAAATCTTTATCCCAAATCAACTTAAATCCGGCTAAATCAGGATTTTGAAGTAAATTTTCAAAGTTGTAATTTAGGTCAACAGAGAGTGTTCGAAAACTGCACTCTATTAAGATTGCTAATCTTCAGATTAATACTATAACAATTAACAACAAAAAAATGAAGTCTGAAAAAAAGAACACCACTGTACAAATAGAATTATAACTAGAAGATAAAATCAAGTAAGCGTACGTATGAAATGATGAATAGCTTGCGTCACTCTTCGCTTCTTCGACTTCTTTTGTTGGCGAAATCCTAGAATTTTCAAATAATCACTTTAAAAATGAAACGCGGGGAATTCATCAAGTTTCCTTGAAGATAAGAGGAAGACAAATAACAGCACTTAGAAAGTGTGAACAGAAAACTCGAACATACCCTTTTCCAATAAGTGAATCCACTTGTTGAGGTGAAAGGGCATTAGGAAGTCTTCCGCACGGCTTTCTTGGTGGTAGTGGCGGAGGAACACTATGAGGAGGTGGGAGTTTTACACAGAAGGTAGTATTATCACATGGCATTTTTATTAATGACGATGTTGAAAAATGAGATAATGTTGTTGACTCCGCATTCTTCGATACATTGTCATTACCGGAATTAGTGCTCTGTGAAAACGAGTCTGTTCCGCTGAAAACTTTCTGTATCATATCTACTATCGTCAGATATAGAACTCAAGGAGAAAGATGAAATGTTACTTTTTGATTCCCAAAGTTTATGAACTGTTATGTTCGATTCCACGCGAAAAGATCGAAATAAGATTCTTCCCACATCTACTTTACATTAGTAACTATACCTGCTTAGATTCTGATGGCTGGAAAAAGCCTTCGTGCTAATTGTATCAGCCGGATACACCAATTTCATCTTCGCATAAGGAGCTTGTATAAGGAGATTACGTCCCCAAGATGCCAAAGACGCACTTTCGCTCGCTGAACCAGCATCATCATCGGTGTAACCACCAACACCAGTGTTCAGCAACGTATGTCCTGACCCAAATTCGCTTGTCATTCGATTCCGTAAAGCATCTAAACGATACCGACGATCCGCCGCTACCCCATCCTGGAAAAGAATGAAAGAAGACAAAGCAAGATGGAAAAAATAGTGCACAAAACAATAACAAACTGAAATTTGGAACACAATCTTACCACGAAGGAAAAAAGAATCAGACAAAATTATGCTATATGCAGCAAAAAAAATTTATTTTTTACGTTTGAAACATAATCTCACTGAACCAACGTAGGCAAAAATTTCACATAAGTCTGTCTTTGTATAGAAAAAATTTTTCTCTGTCAACAAATATGAATAATGTGCAGCCAAGTTAGATAAACGATGCCATACCAGAACGAAATACCGTGACGCATATATATTTTTTTAAATACCTCATCAATTTTAGTTACGCAAATGTTGAAATAATAAACTTCATCATAAAATGATATTTTGTTACTTTTAACGATGAGGAAATAGGCGAAGCGGAAATATTTTCAGACCGCGACGAGAGCGATTGCTTACTGATTGCCGCATCACTTATTTCACTTCCAACTAATGATGAATCAGATCGTGACGGATGATTATTGACACGTCCAGTACCAATTATCAACATGGAACGATTCGGAAGTGGCCATAACTCGTCTTGGGCATCTTCATATTCTTCACTATTTGTCGTAGACGACGTAGCGTTTTCTTCCGCTTCCGCAAATGACATTCATGTACTGAAGTGAGTAATATTTATTGTAACTAATGAGCAATCGTTAATAAATCATTCATCAACTAATCCTTCTAAATAAGCTTTAAAGTTTAGTAAAATTTGCTGGATACGTATACAAATAAAATATTGCAATTTGAATTTCTTCCCCTAAACGTGAATTTTACTTCATATCATAGTTTGTAATCAATCTGTATTTTATTAATTTAATATTTGTAACTGGATTTTCGGATCCTAAGCAAATGAATAGAATTGAATAAAGAGAGAGTGAATGCTTCTTTCGGAATGCCCGAAATTTCTTCTTTGGTTCCCGTTAATCCCAAACAGAACCATCAGCAAACCAAACACGGAAGACAAAAAATGCAAAAGCTGTCCTGAGTGATATCGAAAAACAAACACCACTTATGAAAATCCCTCGTCTCAAAGTGTTCATTTGTTTATACCTACCCATAAAGTTTCCCTCATTTTTCTATGCAACTTTTTTTAAAGCACTTTTTTTAACTAATGAAAATACCTGACGAAAAATTCTAATTTAATCCTCAATTGCAATTGAACGAAAAATTGAAGATAAGAAATATGTATGGATGATAACGATAGTGGCGATTGTGACGTTGAGGAGTGCTGAAGATCTACAACTCGAGTTCGCGTCAAGATGACACACTCAGTGGAAATGCCGCAACTCATTAAGTTTGCTTTTAACTAGGAACCTCTGTTTTATTTTTCTGGTGGCATCTAATCCATTTAGTAGTAGCTATCACATTATACTGAAGTGAACAAAATTCTATATATATATATTTGTAAATGTCAAAATTTGGGACCCAAACTTTTAGAAGATTTCAGATAAGCAGATTCTTGCAGTTCATTCGCCAATATCACAATAGGAACTCAAATTTCGAAAAAAAAAAAGAAATAATATCTTTATTTGGATAAAAAATCAATTTCTGGTCTTTGGCTCCCACACAAGTGTCGAGAAATACTCCACGCTGTGAAACGATGTGAACGAAAAGTTCGAATTGATACTCTTCTTTTCGTCTTATGTATAAATTTAAAAATTTAATTTCGATCTTCTCTTCGAATGCTTTACCGAGTTCCAAAAGCATTTCTAATGCCCATCAGAGTATTGTTGTATTAGAAGTCGTCTTCTCTCGCTGTTCGTAAAATTCGATTCTTTTTATCATACTGCAGCATATTTTAATCTACATATTAGAATACTTTGTGTTTGATATTAATGAAACCATTGAAAAAATATTAGGCGATATATTTTCCTAAAAAGAATTATATTTATATATTTAAAACGAAAATAAATATTTCCAAAAGAAGAAATAACTCGAATTGAAACAAATTCTGAGGAAATGACTAACTTGTAAAGAAAATATGCTACTAAAAAATACCATCAGTATTTTCAACTATTATAACATGGATGAAAGACAAACCGACGATTATAGGCAACTGTCTACGACATATTAAATGAGACGAAATCTATTTGTATATTTCCATGTAATATATGAAAGTTGCAAGACCGAAAACAGTCAAAACATGTCAGTTATTGGTCGATGTCATCATTAGGATGCTCTCGATGAAATTATTTTTAAAAAAGTATGTATAGAGTGTCATAGTTATGTCCGAACACATTAGAAAAAAATTCATCCAGCTATGATACAAAATCAATACGGAAAAACAGAAATATTTCTGTATTACGCCGAAATATCTTGAGGTATGCACTCAGTATTAAGTATAACCGCTGAAATCCTTATAAGGTGTATTTCTGAATTACGGCCTCCGTGAACTCTAATGTTGATGAAGAACCGCCAAGATCGCGAGTTCTTATCTTGCCTTCGGCAATCACAGCTTCAGTAGCCGATCGAAGAGCAGCACCATACTTTTGCAATCGTAAATGTTGTAGCAAATCTGCACAACACAAAATCATCGCAGTTGGATTTGCAATTTGCCTGAAAAATCGGTCGATCATCGATATGAATAAAAAGAATCCTGGAAGTATAGAAACAAGAGTTATTAAAAAAATAAATTTGCATAAAGAAAGAAAATATAATCATTTGACACAAGGCAGAAAACTCGGAAATTATTATAACGCACTTTCCAAATGCTTGTTCATAGGCATGACGGGCACCCGGTTCAAAAATAACGGCATCCGACCCAATTGAGCGACTCGCAACAATTCCAGCACCTCCAACTAAGCCAGCTCCCAAATTACCAACAATATTACCATAAAGGTTAGACATAACCATCACGTCAAACTGTTCAGGTCGAGATACCAACTGCATGCAGCAGTTATCGATAATCATCGATTCAAACTTGATGTATGGGTATAATTTTGAGACCTAGAACAAATTATCATCGAATTTAATGTAACTAAAATTATGAGTTCAAAAATCATTTGTAAATAACAAAATTCATGAAAAATCAATATTGAAACTAAACTATTCCACTTAGCAGTTGCAGTAAACTGAAGATGATTAATGTTAGAGACATAAGTAATAAACTTCCAAGTTATTTGAAAAAAAGGTTCAAATTCTGGAAAAACAAAAAACTGGGTTGGCAATATATATACTTTTGTAGTTCTTATAATGAATATATTATTCCTTGAAACAGATATTCAATTATTTATGTAAGAGAACGAAGTTAATAAACTAATAATAAACTAAATTAGATAAACTAACTTCTTCACACATTCGTAAGAATAGGCCATCACCTAATTTCATAATATTTGCTTTGTGAACAGCAGTGACTTTGTGACGACCAAATTTCGTAGCGTAATCAAAAGCGAATTTCGCTATCCGATGCGACTTCTCCTCTGTGGAAATTTTAAGACATTCAACAACGCCAGGTACCAACTCGTGTTCTAGCGATGAATATTCTCCTTCTGTCTGTTCACGAATAACAATGAAATCCAGATTCTTTTGATGTCGTGTTCTGATCCCACTTAAACTCTGAAAATTCTAAAAATGTATACAAATGTAAAAGATAAAAATTCAAACTCAAAATTCAAATTAACTTTAATCAAAACTAAATACATACAAAGATTTAAAAAGAAAATTACATAAACGTTTTACGGGATCTTCTTACTGAAAAAAATAGAGTATTGGAAAGGTTAATTACCATATCAATTACCAAATAATAGGAAATTTAATAGAAAAGTCAAACATAAATGTAGTGCGGTTAAAGGAATATGAACTGATATTGTAATAAATTTCACGACCGGTATATGCAATAACCATTCACCAACTGGCTGATATGGTGAAATTCGAATAACATTTCAAATTGGAACTAAATCCAACGTTTTAAATGAAATGTTTAAAATGTATACTAACTTTAATATTTGAAACACTGGCAAAAAGGTCAAGACCTTTTTTTAATGCTCGATTGATATCTTCTCTGTCGGGGTCGTTTGCTGTCGCCTCTGCTTCCTTAATTGCACCTTTCAACGCCACATTATTATTTTTCTTAATGATTTTAATGGCATCTTCAAGGCTTATCGAACGTGAATGATGAATTTCACTACAAAGAAAAAGCATATGTCAAGAGAGAATATATGTCCCACATATCCATATACCAAAATATACAAGAATAGGAGAAGCATAACAGTCTATTTTTATTAAAATTGATCTTCTGCTAATGGCAAGTCTCCATATCAATAGTAGCTATGCATAAGGTTCTTAGAATGGTTGTCGGCACTAATCTTCAACTCTTTTGTGTAATTTAATCACTAATAATTTTTTAAACTTTAGTTAACTAGGAGCCATATCTTTTGCTAATCAGTCCATAGCAGATCAACAAAGAATATGGCTCCTAGTTAACTACAGTTATCAGGAGAATATTCTGATGAATTCAAAAACTTTTGTTTAATTCGTTAATAAATAGTAATAATTTTAAAAAAAAATCCATAATAAACTCTATTAGCATTTTAATAATTTTTTAATAAATTGAAAGGAAAGATAACCTCAAGAAAATTTCTTCAAACTCTAATGGTATTCCTGTGCTTTGTACAATATGCTGTACTGAATGAGTAAGTTCTGAACCAACGCCATCACCTGGTATTACCGTTACTTTCATTTTTCGTTGAGGTCGAATTATACTCTGTAAGGAAACGTCGAATGAATACGTTACAAACACATTACAATAACAAATAAAATAAGTAAACAAAGATGGTAATATAACCAGAGTTGATATTTTCATTCCATTCTCAGCTTCGCGGTTTTACATTGAAGGACTGCATTCTTTTAACTCTTCTGCAGAAAGTTAATAAATAAAATGAAAATAAAAAAACTGTGAAATAGAATAAGAACAAACTGCAAAAAAATGAAAAATTGAAAAATGAATGAATGGTGTGTAGGGGTCAAACAATTCGTTGGTATAATAGCAAAAACTACTGTATATGGCATGACAAGGACGGGAAAGGAGATGAACATAGAATGAAATGAATGATTGGCCACAGCAAAACAAAATGAGAAATTAAAGCCATGGAAAATTAAAGAAATTGGAAGTTAAAAATATAATGAAGCAATTAACCGAAACAATTCCTCTTCCAGAACCACATCTTTTCATTGTTTGCACCAATAGAAAGGTGAATCGTTGTTGAATTAGGAACATCTGGAAATATGACACTGCTTTCTTCAGTAACTAAAGTAGGATGTAATTATTTGTTGACGGTGGCCTTATTACACTCGGTTGTGTGATGAAAGATGGGGATACAAGAATAAAAACCATGGTAGCAAAGTAAAACAGAAAAGAAAATTAGAACTTTATTTTGCAAAAAAAATATCAGAAATAAATAAATAAAATACACATATGTAATAAGGAGAAAAGAAAAGCGGCTAATAGCAAAATGAAATCTATACAAAATTTAGCATCAATTCCACAACAAATCGTATTTACGAGACATTTTCAAGAATACTTATCATAGTTTTCTATTTCCCGACATATCAGTAAAACATTTCGTTCACAAATTTCTAAAGTGATTAATTTGAATCTCCAAGCCTTATTTCTGCAGAGATAAATAATCGATATTCTTTTGAGTTTCTTATCAGCAGTAATTATAAAAAAGTATTAGTCTCGACTAAAATATCAAACTGATCAAATAACGACATCATTTTTTGCCGACTTCTGTAAAATCAATTGATTATATGCAAAAAAAATGCTTCAATCGGGAAAGTTTCATCAAAATAAATAGAAAAAACAATGGGGTTTTTAGATCCTTCGACCAATGGTTTTTGTTCAAACACTATAGCTCAAATATTCTTGAACAAATATAAGCCATTCGCAAATTTATAAATAGAAATGCCATATAAATGAAAACACATTATCGGAACGCATAAGTAAAAACAGCTGGGAAAAATTTACGTTAAAAAAAGTTGATTTTTGAATGAAAAAACCAGGATATTTTATGATTGCGAATCTCTTCAAAACAATTTAAATTTATGATTGCTTTTCAGTAATCAAACCTATATATTATGTGGAAGAAACCGAATCCAGATGCAATATTTCTTTCAAAGAATAGTCTGCTCCAGCATGATTTCCTCATATCCTTCAGGTGCATTATACGAAAACAATCGAAACATAACGTCCAAAATTGCATTATCGCCAACATAAACAATAGGATAAACCTGCAAAGTATGCAACATTTTAATCCAATAGCAAAAAATTGAAACTGCTACGATTCGCTAGATAACTTTTTCTAACGGATCTTTCATTTATACACTATTCAGCGTGATCATTTTCATTAACAAACACGCTATATATAACCCGTTTCTTCATATAAGAAACTGCCCCAGATAATTTCGCCCTCGTAAATAGGTAACATTTCTCATAGGCCTCTATGGAACTTTTGCCAAATTATAGAACAGTGAGATATCTATATTTCATTTTTTATTAAAAAAGTGCTTACTTGTCCTTTAATATTTGAGATTGACAGCGGTAACAATACACCATTTTTGTAAAACTTGAGTTCTACATGATCAAATGCGACGCCCTGAAATTTATTCCCCAAAAAAGGGTAATAACTGACGTAAAATTTACTATTTCAAACAATCAACAAAAATAATGGAATAAAGCCATACAATACAGTCACCCTCATCGATAGGTTCTTCTAGCTTCCCCAACACTTCACCATTTGCTACCAGTTGTCCATCCTGTCTCAAAACCCAACAGTTCGCAATTACTGGCACCGAATTCAAATCTGCAGATCGTGTCGCCAATCCAATGCCCCATATTCCTAAACATTTACTTATTTTTCCCTTTTGTAAATCAATAGCATCATAATTTAAAATCAATCTTTCAATTGAACCTATTACAAAAATATATTATTATGTTTTCTTTCAACAAAAAAATAAGTAACTGTCCAAATTTGGTTGGAAAAATTGCAAGCTAGATATCAAATTCTACTTTTAACCGATCCTAACTAAAATAAAAATATATCAAAGTAGTAATTATTAAACATCTTTAATGCTATGACAATTACTGATTTTGTAAAAACTAAAAACACTGAAAGTAGAAAAAGATTTTACACGATAACGATAAGAAATCAAATGTTAAATAAATTACATACCAGTTTGTTGAATACTGACTTGGAAGTAAGCTTTATTTTGCACGATTGGAGCTGTACTTAAAGCTGCCCCTGAACCGCAAATTCGCTGTCCGTTTTTTAGCAGTACCACATCGTCACCTACATTCAAAGCACATGACAAATTTAAAAATCAAAATCCGTGTAATAAATAACCTGGCTAAAACAAGACATTCAGCCAAAAAGTTAGTCGATCTGCAAGCGTTAAAATGGAGTTCAAATTAACAATTTTGAAGGGAGGTGCGCAATGAAGATATCTCTTACTCCTTCATCATCATGACTGAAAAATTCATAATTACTATTTCTTTAATTTTTTTAAATTGCTTACACTTAATTTTTCCCTGCATTGATGTATTTTTTCCAGTACAAATAATAAAACTTAGAGGTTACTTAAAGATATGGCAAAGAAAGCAAGTTGAAACAGATTAATTCTTTATCAAAGCAGTTAATTCGATATTGATAATCAGTTGTACATACAATTAACCTAATATCGTGTCATAAAACAACATTGCAAAATACCACTTTCTATATCAAAATTATGAATTTCAGAATTAATAAACAAGTCTCTTGAAACAATAAACCTTCTGTTTAATCATTGTTATTTATTATCAATATTGGTACCACATACCAATTAAATTTTTTTGATGATAATTTATGCAATCTCAATAATTTGTCGTGCCCGATTTTGTATAGCAAAGCTATTTTTGAGAAGCTAAATTGTATTTTATTTAATATCTAGCTAAAAATATTGAACATATTATTTGATCGCTAATTGGGGGTGTAACATTACTATTAAAAAATAATTAAAAACATATTTTCAGTAATTAACATATCGAAGAACATTTGACTTACCCATGAATACCGTGTCTAATCTCACAGAATGTAATTCATTTTGAAAATGTGCATGATTCTGAGTCACCGAAAAACTCGGTCCCTGTACACATTCCAGACACATTCGTAACGGTGGAAAACAGCTCTCGAACATATCTGATTTGATTGCATTGAATTACAGTAGAAATTAACAATCAGTAAAAGGATGGAAAATTACGACAACAAATAATTTAAAGAATTATTCACTCATTACGAATGAATTCAATTATGTCACAGGCTTTCGCAAAAAACAGCATTTCAATAGAAAGGGCAATTAATGAAAAAATTGAGACAAAGAAAGAATATTATCGATTAACTGAAACGATTGCAGTCAAATTCACTCAAATTCATTTCGACGGCTGAAGGACCCTTTCATCTCGAACTTTTTCCACTTCCACTTACTCATTCAAGAAATAAAAAATCCCATTATGTTTACAAAAATTTCAGAAATAGACTTAGTAAAACTAATTAAGCCATAGATAGAAGGAATGCCAAGCTTAGTAATTATTGATGGCATGCTACTAGCTCAGCCTTCCAATAATAACAATGTGAAAATGTATGAGAAGTGAAACGAGAGAATTTGAGAAGGTGTTTGAACGATTCGGAAAATAATAGCGTACGATGGATGCGAAAGAAGATTTATCCAAAGAAATAGTACTGTTACATGGGAGAGTTAGGATGTGTTTTTTTTGACAAAAGGATGCGAAGTCAGAGATTGAGAGTGTGGCATCGAATAATAATTTATCAGTGCTGGCCATTTATCATTTGTTCGTTTGATCAACAATTATATATTTTCCTTTTGTTGAAATTGACAGTGTATTCCGTAATATGGAATTTTTCCGGATTCAATGCATATAATTTCGGTAATGTAAGTACAAGAAAACTGCACACTAAATAAACTAAAAATCAGTAATACTATTTTAATACCAAAATCATAAAACATAACTTTATCCACCCCAAATCCTTTAATACTAAAAAAACAACTAGACCAAGAAGAATTTATTCGGGAAGATATGATTTATTATCAAACAGAAATTTTTCCTAACTAATTCACATTCATTTTAGTTTTATATCTCGAAAACTTATAATATGATAATGCACTGATTCGAAATTTTTAAAATTTTTGTAACGGTATCATTCTCGTACACAACCATGGATCAATTCCTACTTATGTATGCTATTTCCATTCAATTAATTAATTAATTAATTGATATTATTCGAATCAATATATTTCTTTCTCACATACAGTTTTCAATTCAGATCAGGAAGAGAACGATAAGTTTTGAAGTTTAAATGAAGAAATAAATGATAATTTAGAGATTATAAAACTAAATTTTTAAAGATAATTGGGATTTACAAAAAGATAAATGATATGGGTATTGAGAATTTCTGGATGTGTTCTTTTTTAACCTTAATCTGGTAAATTTTTATTGTTTTTGTCTATATCTAGTGAATTTTTTAAGGGTTTTTTAAAATTATTTTTGACGTTTTGTTTTAAAAAGTATGAGAAAAAGGAAGCAGAAAAACCGTATAGTTTTGAAGTATGGATTATTAACTATATGTTTGAATAAAATTTCCTAAATTTTGTTCTTTCTCTGCAGTCAGAGATAATAAGTGTCAGAAAACTGTCAGAAATAATAAGCTAATAAATCATGCAGCGAAAAAAGTTCTTGAGATCTCCAACATGTCCTCGAGTACAGCTTGCAATACAATTTTTCTGACAGTTTTAGTGTCAATTTTTTTTTGCTTTAAAAATTTCGAAAATTTGCAACTTGAATTTTCTAATATTTTGTTTCTCATCAAACAAAAGAAATCACAATAATCACAATTACATCGTATTATAGTCGTTATAACATAACCTGTTGCAGAAATGTAGACATCAAAATTCGGTTTTTTAAAGTTAATTTCATCGCTGCAAGGATTTGGAAAAAGATAATTAATCAATTAAATCTTTCAATAATTTTAAACGATATAAAAACAGCATAGCAAAAAATAGTGATGGATTCTGCACTTTCAAGATCATTAAAAAAATTAGATCGAATGTATTAATATAACTTATCGATCGCAATGTCATTTCGATGAATAAATTCCAACAACAATTATAATGCATTCATCACTACTAGATAGAAAATAAAAAAAAATAAAAAAGTTTATTGCTTCAGTGGTGCTTCAATATCCTATAAACAGCTAATAGTTGATCACAACGTTCAGATTTTGCGAACACTATTTGGTTAAGATATCATCCTTTACGACATAAATATGAATAACTAATTTTTTCCATACATTTATTTTTTAGACATGCGTATGTTTCACATTAAAACTGATAAAATTGCTTGGAGTGAATTTAAAAAAACTATAAATTTGACATAATGATCTTCATAGACTATGCGGTTCGAATTATTCAACAAAGAAATATGTTCTGACACAAATATCTTTTTACGTCTGCCAACAATTTTAATCGACTTTTTTTTCTGGACTTTTTGAATGTATATTTTTTGTCGTCGTCGGCGGTGTTGGCGCCCCAGTGATGTGCATTAGTAATTTCATGACAATAAGTTGTAGACGACATGAAAGGAATGAATACGGATAGAATCTGTAAGAGGACAACAATTAAGACGATCAATTTTGAATATTCAATTTTACTCCCTGCATGAAGCTATAAGTCCAACTCAATATGATGCTTATTTCTTGAACGCAATCAATATTTCCATGATTTCCATGACTATTTTTTTTAAGTTTAATATAAATGAAATGATTACAAGAGTAACATGTCCCAGCCAACTCGATACAAAAGTTTTGGCCGTTTTGCGACGATTGCTTCGTAATAAGCATCGATAATCCATGTCGTATCTTGGTCTACTATACTTCGCTGCAGTTCATTTGTAAACTTTTTTGCTAAAAATTATTAAATATATGCTAATCTTTAAAAATATTAAATATATAACAACGTCATAGTCACATATGTTCGTTTGAAATGCACATTCATAAATTGAATAACATCCGAAAGCTTATGCAAAAGCGCTACAAAATACCTTTCTCGTTATAATGCTGTCCATATTCATCACGCAACTTTTGTGGTGCTCGGTACCATACCTCATCCACCATTTTTATTAACCTCTCAGCATTCTGCATTCCAGATTCAAAAGATCCCGGAACAATCTCTATCACATCCACACCAAATGGTTGCAATTCATGCCTTCAATTCATCATTTTCTAAACATTTTCAAATTTCACCTAAAGACTTCAAGATCTTAAAAACGAAATGAAAAAGTGAGTAATTTGTTACCTAATAATGATACAATAGGATTGGACGGCAAACTTTGAGCAAGCATAAGGACCATTGCCTGCTGTCGGAAACAATGTGCTAGCACTACTGCATATCACTATTCGACCTCTGAGATTTGTTTTTCGCAAGAATGAAGCAAATTTGTTTTAGGAGTAAGAATTAAATAGACTCATACCACAATTATGATTCAACTCTAAGCAAAACAATTAAATTAAAAAAGAACAATTAGATTCAAAAAAGCTTATTAAAAGTTTAAAATCGATAAATTTTCGCGAAACCACACCTGAAAGTCTGAAAATTCAAAAATTATCTTTAAAGCAGGAAAAATTAACGCGAGAGTACGAGG